GTGTAATCTGCTACACCACCTGGGAATTTTCAAATTCGGTGGCAACGTCAATCAAAGAACATACATCTGCACAAGGGGGATTCAAAAGCTCATGGAAAAATGTTTCCATAAACTTTTTGACCCAACCCACTACCATCAAATCAATTTTGACTCAATGAGACCCTATATCAGGTTGCTAAAATTGTATGTCTTTTTTTAGGGGGGAAGGGGGGATTACAAATAGCCTCATTTTTCTTCAGCAGAGCAGCTGGTGGGTTTGAACCAGCAACTAGGAGGTTAGCAGTCCAACCAAATACTGGGGCCCTTAAACTTTCTTAAGTCCTCTTGTATTAAAAATATTTTCTTTCAATGGTGCCTGCTTCAGATTTACTTTAAGATAATCTTAGGCGGGGCAGGAAATGTGGAGACGGACAATAAAACAACACCGTACAATGTTGAAAATGATGGCGCACCGGGCCAGGTTCAACATCGCTCTCGACTTTTGTGTTCAAAATGTTCTATGGTAGAGAGTTAGACGGAATAGTCTCTCCAGCACCACACAAACAAGATGTACACATGTCAGGTTCACCGCACTCTCACTCTGGTTGTTGTTGGTAGCTGCCACCAAGCTGGCTTTGAATTCAAGGGGACCTCGTACACCGTGGGCCTGTCCCACCCTCTGATTAGCTGTGGTTAGGGCTGGTGTGACCCACGGGGTTCTGTGTGTTAGCTCTGTGTTGTGGATTGGGCAAAGGTTTACAGTGCAGATCTGTTTTCCATTCAACAATTCGTACGCATTGTGTGTCATCTCATTCAGTGCATCCTCCCGATACTGCATCGCCCACCTCCTGTGTTCCTGAATTCCCTTTCTTTCCTCACCCTACTGAGCTATCCTTGGGTAGATGGCGCCCTTTTGATCACAAATGGTTGATTATTCTAAGGTGTGCATACCTTCCTGTTCCTCTTCCCCTTATAGACCTAGCTACTACTTGGTGAAAATTAAACCAGGGGGTGAGTCTATTTCCAGACTTGAAGGGCAACTAGTTTCAGGGTGATTGTCTCAGGGGTTCCACAACCCAGAGGTTTTCATTGGTGGGTTGTCAAAAGTAGCTCACCAGGCCTTTCTTCCTAGTCTATCTTTGTGTGAGAGCTCCGTTTAAATCTGTTCACCATCAAAGCAACAAGCAAGACTCAGCAGTAACCCCAACCTAAAACCAATCAAACCCACTGCCATCAAGTTGATTCCCACTCATAGCCACCCCCAGCACAGAGCAGGACTGCTCCCTAGGGTTTCTGAGACTATCGATCTTTACGGGAGCAGAGAGCATCCTTTGTTTTCCATGTGGCGTATCTTGTGGATTCAAACTAGTGACCTTGTGAGTAAAAACCCAACTCATATAACCCACTATACCAGTGGTTCTCAACCTTCCTATACCAGTGGTTCTCAACCGCGACCCTTTAATACAGCGCCTCATGTTGTGGTGACCCCTTCCCCTCCAGCCATCAAATTATTTTAGTTGCTACTTCATCACTGTGATTTTGCTACTGCTATGAATCGGACAATCTCTGTGAAAGTCGTTCAACCCCCAAAGGGGTCGCGACCCACAGGTTGAGAACCGCTGCACTATACCATCAGGGCTCTAATCTCAACCTAGAGATAGGTGGTGGTGGTGGTTGTTGTTGTTGTTGTTGTTGCTCGATGCCATTGAGTTGTTTCCAACTCAGCAACCATGTACACAACAGAACAAAACACTGCCCAGTCCACTAGATACCACAAAAGGTCGTTCATCTCTCTAAAGGTACCGCGCAGTCATTGACAACTCCACAAGTACTCTGCGCCCCAAAGAGTTCCGTCTTTCAGCTCCACAGCTCACTTCTTACAAGCTGCACCCCAAGTTAGTGTGTACCTAATAGATCCCACCTTCAGTAGCCGTTTCACTCAGAACCCCAGAAATCGATGGAAAATGGAAAATGCCCGGCTCAGATGGTCAGCTCACCACCCAAAAGACAATGATGCGAGTAGAACCCTTGAGGAATTTTAATTAAAAATTTAACTGACAAGAGATGCATTTTGACAGCTCTCCCTATGCCGATACCAGTAGTCACACCATCGGTCCCAAACACCACACTAATGAAAACAGGCCAGAGGGGAGGGTGTAAGCCATTATTACAACTTGGAGAAAAACAGTTTTTAAAATCTCCACAATTTAAAACACCCTACTATTAGCTTCTGATGAGCAATTAATTTTTCCAATTAACCTAGGGCCTTGTGAACAACACGGAACCGGTTTCGCATGAAAATGACACAATCAAAACAACGGGAGGGGGAGGGGAGAAAACGCTTTCATTTCCAAATGTTTTCATAAAAACAAGTGATAAGCCTTACCAGCACTTTGTTTTCAAGTTTGTCGCCCTTGACTTCCAACTTCACTTTCTTCTTCACGGCAATTTTGATCTTCCTGCCAATAACATCCTTTATGCTTTCTGAAAGAAGGGGGAAGCTCCGTCAGCAGACTGTATTCTCTCGCTAATAAGCATATATGTAAATATATCGAAGGGAGGAGAATTGGGGGTTGTTTTCTTCTTACTGTCTGTATTATTATCACCATCTGCTTATTTTTACAAGCCTGATAGTCCTCAATCAACATGGAGTAAATACCCACTGTGTGCCTTGTACTGTGTGCTCAGATTCTGAGCAAAGATGAAAACCTAGGACATGATGCCAGCTGTGTGTTGAGCGAGTTGATGAAACAGGAGGCATGCACAAGGAAAACAGAGACCCATAGGGCAGTAGGCCTGAACATTATACTGCATGCGGATCATGAGCACCACTGCTGCTGTTAACTGCTGTCCAGTCAGACCTCAACTCATGCCCATGCCAGAACTAACACAGCTGGTCCTGTACTACTATCCCTACGACCAGGCAAGGACTAGACCTTTGTGACTTGGTGGTCTACGGGTCTCGATATCCAGGCCTTTCTCCCTAGCCCTTTTTAATCTAGAAGCTCCACTGACGCCTATTTACTAGCATCATGGCAATACTCATGACAGGTACGCGGTGGCTGTGCAAGAGGTGCTCTGGCTGGGAATCAAACCCTGATCTCCCACGTGGAAAGTGAGACTTCTACCCCTGAACCACCAATACCCTCCGATAGAAATTCTTGATTCCTTCAGCCCGTGAGCTGCTCACCTCTGGCCCCCAGAAGCCTCTCCATTGATTATCCCTTAAGTCTACTGTCGTTAGGCCAGTTCTGCGTCATACTGACCCTACAGGACGGAGTAGGGCTGTTCCCAGTTTTCAAGACTGTAAGTCTTTACAGGAGCAGACTGCCTCCTCATCTACCGTGAACACTAACTACTCTTTTAAGAGCAATCTCTATGGGCTCGAACTGACAACAGCAACACAAAAGATCAGATGGGGTGATGCTAAGGGGGAGAGGCAGTTTGGCAATGGAGGACAGGGATGGCTGGACCACTTGAATGCAATCAGTGCCGCTGGGTTGCGCGGGTGGCGCCTGAATTCGTGTCCGTTCTGCTGTAGATGTCCTCAAAAACAAGAGTGAGATTTTCTGAACCAGTGCCTCATGTGCACCAGGTTCTTTACTTACCAAGGGCTGGGATATTTTCAAAAACCATACTCACTGCTACAGAGCTGATTGCACCTGTTAGAGACCCTTACCTAGGCTTTGCAGATTATAAAGCTTGGCAGGAGCAGACAGCTTCATCCTTCCCCCCAGAGCTGCTGGTGTGTCTGAACCACCAACCTCGTGATTAGTAGGCCACTGCCTAACTCACAGCACCACCAGGGTCCTCTGGTCAGAGCAAGGCCCTGTCTTTTGCAGAAATTGACTAGCAGCCTAGAGAAGACTGGGGAGTGCCAATACACAAATCTGCACCCTAGACCATGGGATGATGGGCCAGAAGGCACAGGAGGTTTCTGCGAAGAGAGGAACACATGGGCTGAATCATGCCGCCCTAAGACACAGGCCATGGCATCTACAGTTGTGGGTGGTCGGTCCATCCACTCTGCGACGTGGCAGCCTTATGTCACACCGAACAAAGCGTGCGGCCTGCACCACCTTCACGGAAACAACAGGTTTCCAATGTGGAGGGGTCAGTACAACCCACTGGGGTGCAGCCAGATAACAGTAGGCTGTTCACTTCTGTTTGCAATGTGTGGGATTCGGTGTCTGTTCTGGAAATCACACAAGTAGAATAGGGATATAATTTACGAGGTGAAGTTAATGTTTGCAAAGGGGTGGCTGAACTTGTCTTGTTGGTAGCACCACATCCCAAAAGTTCAGCGTCCCAGTGTTGGCAAAGAAGAGAGGTAAAGGAGGAAAGAGCACTGCGGGCCTAGGGAGGTACCAGGAACCAGGAGAGGGGATGTTAGCAGGAAGGGGCCTGTGGGAGAGTCCCTTGGACTGCAGCTCCTACTTTAGCAGAGCGCAGCTAAATACCTCTGGCCCGTTTCTTCTATTCTTTATACTTCCTTGCATTTTGAAGTCTTCTTCCCACCCCATCCCCTAAAAACCTGTATCCGTTTCAGAAAGACACACAGCACATATTTAAAATGCCTTGAGGGATTTGTTGAGGGGACTGTGCTGTACTGAATGTTTCAGAACCCCTGTGAGCACCTGAAATTTAAAAAGAGAAACAGCCAGGGCTGGAGTGTCCCCAGACTCTGCCAAAACAGACCATGGAACGGCCTCCTAGGGAATCACATGGGGTACACCACACACAAAAACATGTGCCATTTGGATGAGAGGCGATGAGAGAAGAGCAATCCTCAATGAAAAGAGTCCAATTCAGCTTTTAAGACAGCCCAAAGTTATTTACTTGGAGAACCATCAATATAAATCAGGTACCATATTTCCACCCCATCTTTCACCACCCACTCTCTGGGGCCTAGGTAATTACCACAACTTCTCATTACCAGGCTGAAGGACAACTCGAGACATAACTTAAAAACCTGCCACCTCTTTAGGTATCCTGTCTCCTGGCCAGTCAGCAAGCCCTTGCCTAAGCCGCTGAGCTCTCCTCTCTCCCTCTGTCATGCACAGGACTGCTGGAAGCATCTCCTGAGCCTCTCTGGGCCTTGGTTTTCTCTTCCTGTTAGGGTATGGGATCTGCCTAGTCTCCCGGAACCGAACCGGGCGGACCACTTACTGGAGCAAAGGTAGCTGATGCTTTATCTCAGGGGCAGGAGGCCCCGTCAGGATTGGGGAGGAGTTACAGGGCTCCAAGTACTGGGTGCAGGAGAGGGGAGGGGTGGGGACTTTATACCCTCAATTCGAGTAAAAGGGACAGGTTGTTTGGTTTGTTCAACAAAAGCAGAAGCTTCCACACAAACTTGGCAGCAGGTTCTTTACGTCAAGTACCTGTTGGGTGAACAGTCACTAAAGGAAAAGCACATTCAAATTCCTCGTCGTGCAGGGGCTAAAAATCCAAGGGGCAAATTCCACAGCTGAATGGGAGCTCACAGCTTCCTCCTACAGTTAACACCAAGCAAACTTCACCCCTCTGCGCTGCAGGCCACGCAGGGTGCCAAGGATAAAGCAGGAAGGAATATAGGTCACTGGGGCTTAAAAACACGCGCGCGAACACACGCATACACCCTGTTACATTACCACATGCAACACAAGCGCACTTAAACACTGGGTTTTCCTGAACACTTTCCCCCACCCCATTTTAGCTCTGCTGATTTAACACTCCAGATAATTAAGTTACATAAATCCCAAGATGTAAAACCCAGCCCCAGACTCAAACAATGGGTCACTTTGCATGGGTACACTGCCTAGGTTCCTGAGAGCCAGGAGATGAGAATAGGTAGGGTTAATCATTATAAAAAATAAGGCTTTTATCATTAACCCTCAGTTTCCTGGCCCGAGTTTGCGTCGG